CATAGTCGTGCATGCCGTAGTCGTTAGACCATTGACCTCGCATCCCTACAAAGCCGGGACGGAGCACGCCGGGTTCTCACCGGACCAGGCTCTCACGTCACCAAGCGCGAAGAACCGTGAGGTATTCGGCGAGTCGCATGTCTCGCGTATGCCAGTGGATGGTGGTCCCGCGCCACATGGTTGGGGGGGGGTCTCAAAATGTTTGCTGGGCACGTGTTAATGTTTCTCGCCGCTATTCTTGGACACGTCAGGAGTTTATAGCGGTGTGTCCTCCGCCCCCTACGTTCACCAGCGAACTTGAAGGAGTGTGTCAGCGCGTGTCGGGACAAGGATGCCGGCTGTGTCCATGTGCGTGGTTCCTTGGAATGTCGCCCCTGAAAACAGCGTTTTTTGCTGGACAATGCGTGTACGGACGTCATGACGTCATGTTGTCGTTCCCCCGATACGACGGCGCGACAGGTGTACCAGCCGACCGGCCCGAAAGCGATGCAGGACGGCATGATCGAGGTCAAGGAGCGGCACGCGTTCGTGGTCTTCTTCAAGACCGACGAGAGCGGTTTCGTCCCCGTTGGTCAGGTGTGTTAAGTAACAAACACGCCTCTTCCAGTCGAGAGCAGCACGCCTACCGTATATGACACAAGATTACACACCCCCTTGACCAATTTTCGAAGCTCGATTTCTCAACTGCGGGGACGGTCACAGCGCCGAAAACGGCGGTGTTGAAACCGTCTTGTCGAGAGCTTTTCAAAAAATGTATCGTTTCGGTTGTGCATCCTCTTCGTCGTGGAGTAATCGAGCTTTGAAAATCGGTCCAGGGGGTGTGTTATCTTGTGTCATATACGGTAGGCGGCCGTAGGTCACACGAAATATGCCACGTATGTAGCTTTTGGACCAATTTTGAGGGACCCGTGTCGTCCCCGTTGGCCAGTACGCTACAAACACGCCTCTTCCAGTCGAGAGCCAACGTAGGTCGTGCGTATTATGCGATATCACGCCTCGTGGGCCGATTTTCAAAGACCGATGGCAGTAATACCAGTCTGCGGCTGCTGCTGCTGCTGCTGCTGCTGCTGCTGCTGCCGTTGTCGTTAACCCTAACAGAATGACATGTTCCCCCTGTAACACCCGATCCTCCACGTACGTCGAATGGAGCGCGCACCCGCACCGTGGGGGGGGGGCAGTCGCCTCAACTATTTCTACAATTCGCACACAATGTGCGTCTCTTTCCCCCCTCTGTTCACACCGCCTTCTCGCACGCGCACCGCTCTACAGAATGTTATCCAGAGCTTCGCCTCTCGACAGGACCTGGTGAATCCGGTGAAGAAGCCTTCGAAGGGGTTGGAGAAGGCCATCATAGCGGCAAAGGCGGAGATTGGGAACATGGCCGAGGTGAGCAACCCGTCCTAGCAACCCTAGCACGCGGTGCCGTCCCCGTTTGCGCAGCAGTGGGCAAAGGAATGGGAAGGGAAGCGAAAATCAGTCCAAAGCAAGTTCTGGAATGCGGGGGGGGGGTACTCTCATGTTTTGCATGCCTTAGCAGTTAGACCAGTGACCACGCGTCCTCGAGAGGACGGAGCATTGTTCCCACAGGACCGATCACCGATGGCCAATCGTTCCTTCCTACTTTGCCAAAGGTGGCTCAATAATGTCTTCCCTCGTCTATCGATCCTATCGATATCACTTCCCACCTTTTCAGCCCATTTCCTATGCACAGTACAGCTACCGCCTTCTCCTGGCTATCCCATGCCTCAAACATCTCCCTGTACTTTTCTCTTCCATTTCCCAGCCCAGTCATGTTGTACACTTCCCTCTCCTTGTACAACGAACATTCCGCGACTGCATAAACACGGACTTCGCACTCGGAGCACATTTGAACTTGGCGTCTTCATGGTCTACCTCCCTATATCTTGGGCTACGTTATCGAAGGCCAATGTCCCCGGTCTTGAATTTGACCTTCAGCTTTGTCTATTGGTCCGTGTAAGTAATCCTTGAACTTTATTCCTATTGTCAACATTCCGTACAATTCTATGCCCTCCTTATCCTTGGTTTCCTTTCTTAGATTCTGTTCTCTCTCGGCAAAAGCAACAGATATCTTCTCCTTGAACCCTTTTTCACCCTCTGTATGCAGCGTATCGCCTTCGTCGATTTCGAACCCCTTCCATACGTCACGTACGACCTTGACCCACTCCGTGGGTTGTCTACCCCGCCTCCCAAGCTATTCTCAGTGGCTTCTCCTTTCCCATACCGTACATGCGATACTGCCGTGTCAGCTTCCTTGCGTCTCTTCCCGACCGTAGGGATCGGATCCTCAGTTCTGCCCTGACGGCTGCATTACTTGTGCGCTTGGAGCATCCTAGGATGACCTTGACCTCTTTTCATCTGCGCCGCCTCGAGTTCTTTCACTACCTTCTTGTTTTCTTCCCGTACTTCTCCGGCGTACCTTAGCGGCGGTACGATTGCGCTCTTCAAAACCGTGTATCGAGGTGCCGGTTTGCGAGTATCGGGTGAAGCTTCCCTGCTCGTGCCCGTTTCCTCTACCTTAGACATGTGTGCATTCCACGAGCAGTCTTTTGCGATCTCTACTNCGGATCCTCAGTTCTGCCCTGACGGCTGCATTACTTGTGCGCTTGGAGCATCCTAGGATGACCTTGACCTCTTTTCATCTGCGCCGCCTCGAGTTCTTTCACTACCTTCTTATTTCCTTCCCGTACTTCTCCGGCGTACCTTAGCGGCGGTACGATTGCGCTCTTCAAAACCGTGTATCGAGGTGCCGGTTTGCGAGTATCGGGTGAAGCTTCCCTGCTCGTGCCCGTTTCCTCTACCTTAGACATGTGTGCATTCCACGAGCAGTCTTTTGCGATCTCTACTCCGAGGCATGTGTACTGGTCCACCACTGCAAGCTCCTCGACCGCCCACCTCCATCTATGTTCTACTGGTTCCTCCCTGTCCTCGTTGAATAACTTGACGGCACTCTCCTTAAACGTTGGCAGACAATCTCCACTTATCAGCAAGCTCCTTCGCCGCGTCAATTTGTACTTGCGGTCCCTCAGGGGTATAAGACACCCCAACAAAGTCATCCGCAAACAGCATTCCCGACACCGTGCTTTCCCCTACCTCTAGTCCCTTTTCGACTATTCTACGACTTTCAACAGACCTTTGATGAACACCTGGAACAATGTTGGGGACAAGGTGCAACCTTGCTGGACCCCTGTTCAATGTTGAACAATTTCGACAGTTCTCCGTCTAGCATGACCGCGCTTTTCGTACCCTCAGTCATCTTCTGCTCACTCTCCATAATTTCCCCGTGATCCCGTCGGACAGTTGTTTGCACAGCCCATGCCTCCATACTGTATCGTAGGCCTTGTGCACGCCGAGGAAGAAGCAGTACGTCGGCTTTCCCTCCCTGTTTCTACCTTGGATGATTCTCCCTAACGTGAATGCGTGGTCTACGCACCCTCTCTTCTTTCGGAATCCTGCCCTCACTTATCATCCGTTCCCTACCCATTACATGTACTC